GAGAGAGAGAGAGAGAGAGAGAGAGAGAGAGAGAGAGAGAGAGAGAGAGAGAGAGAGAGCTCACCCCACTACTCTCCAAATGTGCAAAAGGAGAATGAATGTCCCGACACTGCCGACACGGGAAAATGGCGGTGTATCCTCCCTCCTTCCGGGAGATTCATTCTCCTTTTGCACATTTGGAGAGTGGCGGGTGGAGCGCCGTCTGTGTGTGTGTGTACGCTCTCTCCCGCCCCTTGCAGCCGCATGCAAAAGGAGAATGAATCTCTCCGTTCTCGCGTCAGATTCATTCTCGTTTTGCAAATTTGGACAGTGCGGGACTACTCTCTCGCTCTCTCTCTCTCTCTCTCTCTCTCTCTCTCTCTCTCTGTGTGTGTGTGTGTGTGTGTGTGTGTGTGTGTGCAGGCCACTTTGAGCGCTCTGTGATAGGCCGGGTATCGTAACTACAGGGGTTGGCCGTGGTGTCAGGCCGAAAGGGGGAAAAGAAAAGGACCAACGGACTCCGCCGGGGGACCTTTCTGCTTACCCGAGTCTCAACTGCATTTGAAACTCAGGCCCTGACTGGAGTGCACAAACAGAGTTTCAAATGCATTTTCGAACTCTAACCTTGACTCCGCCGTAGTTTTCTCTAGAAATAAAAGTAAAACAAAAATCTTCCTCGCTCCACTACTCACTACACGCCAAAAACTCAAAACTTATGGCTGTGTATCTTTCCACGTTCTAGCGGCATTGCCACTCTGCACAATAGGTGAGTAAGGGAGCAAGGCCCATTAGCACGTGTCCTCGCCAGGATGACACTCGGCCAAACCGAGGAACACCTCTCACAGAACAAGGCCTATGTTTAGATAGAGCCCACGCGGAAACCTTTCTGGTTTTCGGCCCCCAAACCCGTCGCATTTGGCAAGAAGGGCCCAGGGGCAATACAGGCCGTCCGACGGAAACTCTGGCACGGACGACCGCTTGGCCTATTCCTACTGGATTGTGAACTATGTGCTGTATCTGCGACAGATTCATTTTCCGGTGGCCTTTCTTGTGGAGCGAGAAAAGTTTGGGCTCCCAAAACCAATTCCACCGATTATCCCTTTATGAAACGACTTTCAGTGTGATTTTCTGGAACCCTTGGAAGCACAATGGGGGGTGTGTTGCTGCACTGTTGCACACTCACAGTATGTGAGCTCAGGCACAGTATCGGGCAAGAGATGCCCACTATCCTTGCTAATCATTGGCAGCATAAAGTGAGGCGTGCTTTTTTTTTTTTTTTTTTTTGCGGGGGTAAGATTGTTCCAAAACATTGGGCAGTGTGTCCTCTACTCGTACATAGTACATACTGATGGTTTGACTGGAACCACCATTTATCCGGGGAAATTTACTGTTAAACAATTTTTGTCTGAAATTTGGGGAAGTTCACTGGCTTTATTTATTTATTTATTTATTATTATTATTATTATATTTTTTTTCGTGTCGTATAATCCAGGCACTCCGGCCTGGTGCAAACGTCACTGTCTATTTTCTACTGTGGTAGTAACTCTAGGACTGCACTTTTTTTTTTTTTTTTTTTTTTTTTTTTTTGTGTGTGTGTGTGTGTGTGTGTGTGTGTGGTCCGATGGACCACGGATCAGATATTAAACTGATCAGAAGAGATACTACACTTGATCTTAGCCAAAAGGCCGGGGAGCTGTAAAGTTGATTTCGTGTTCTTTTTTTCCACAAAGTATTTTGACGGGGCTGCGTGCATTGGATAGGTTTTCTGAAGGGGTGAGGGTTGTATTAGGGGTAAGGATTTTGTTGGTGAGAAGAGTGAGTTGTTTTGGAACAGAAGTCTTCCCTTGTTTCTTTAAAATTTGAAGGGAATTTTCGTGGGGGCAAGGCTCCGCTTCCAGATGAGGGCTCCAGAGCAGGAAGTTCCCGCTTTTGGCTGTGCATTTGTACTGTATTTTGCCTGGGCACTGAACCTCCAACGGCTGGCAATAAGAAGTGAAAAGAGAAAAAAAGAAACAAAAAGGGGAAAAAAAGTTCAAGAAACCCAAAAAATAGAAACGAAAAAGGGAAAAGTTATGAAACCTTCCGGAGGCGAAGATTCTGTGAAAAAGAGAGCTTTGCGCAAGTATGCCCTCAGACTCCATAGATTTGCCCTTTTCCCCTCTCTCCCCCTGCGTGAACACTTGGCCGACTGAAAACCTTACAAGCGATAGCAGCCAGAAGCCGGCTTGCTGTTCAGTGTACGGACACTTGCCTGAGATCCCTACTTCCTCCAGACCGGATTCTCACCATAGCCGTTGTCTTCTCTTTGACGGTGACCCGCGGGACTGCTAAGGAGCGAGCGGGTGCGCGGCACGTGTCTTTGATGATGTCAGAAGGTAGAGCTGCAGCTGGGGTGCCGTAGTGTGTGGTAAGTGCGCAAGGGCACCACGTAGCGGGCCCTAGTTTGGGCGGACGTAGGTGAGCAAGGGTACATGAGGCTTCCATCCATACTCGCTTGGCGACAGCTAGGCGAAGCTGTAGGCTGTGAATATGGCAGAGCAGCGGCAGCGAATGTCTGCGGGCTGTGGGTTGTTTCCCTGCACTGGGACAGTTTCACGGGGAGTCATCCTCTCTGCCGGTCGGGTCTTTCTCTTGACTGTGCGTCTCTTCGAATGCGTCCTCGTGGCGATTGTGGGAACGCAGACAGAGAGAACTACTGACTCTGAGAGTCTGAGGCGAGATGGAGCCATGTATTGTCTTCAGTGGATGCCCTGTATCGCAATCAGAAGTATGGCCGCAAGAAAGAGGCTTCTAGATGGTTGCTCCTGAAATCCTCACCTGGAATGACGCCTTCTTCCTCCGACTCCTCCGCTGGCTCTGGAGCCATGCCTTCCGCCGTCGACTCCTCTCCTACAATGCCTTCCTCCTCCGGCTCACCTCCTTCCACTCCCGATTTCTCCGACTCCATTCCTTTCACGCCTTCCTCCGTCGACTCCTCGCAAGGATCTTCTGCTGGAGCTCGACTGGTTCTCCTAAATGCCCTTCCGATTGTGTCAGCGACATCTGTGGCTCTCGTTGCTGGTGTGCTGTTCGTTGTCTGCCGGCGGCAGAGAGACGACAAGACCTCGCCGTCGTTGTCGTCGGCTAAGGTCCACGTGTTCAAGGTCTCGCAGTCATCGTCGTCTTACAATGGCATGCCCCTGATCCTCAGTGCGAACACTGTGACAGACTTCCGTCTCTGTGACCTTCAACGGTGCACTAACAACTTCGATTCGAGGTATCGGATTGGATATAGGGGCGCGTGTTACACCGTTTACAGGGGCCAGATCGACAGCACGGATCTGGCAATCAAGGTTATGGAGGAGACACATCCACTACGAGAAACGATACGGAGACAGTTTCTGGCGGAGGTGACCACTCTGAGCCGCGTGCACCACCCGAATCTTCTCAAGGCCGTGGGCTACTGTGGCGAGGGGGACAAGTGTATACTGGTGTACTCCTACTACGGAAACCCCAGCCATAGCTTGAACGACCGCCTACACAAACGGCAGGAGAGTGAAGATGAAGGCCCCGTTACACCGATTTCGGATGTATGTCGCAATGCAGATCGCACACGCTCTGGAGTATCTGCATTACGGCACCTATCCTCCGCTGATCCATGGGAGCTTAAGCAGCTACTGTGTTCTTTTGTCGGTTGGCGCTGAAGAGGAACTGCGTGCTGTTGTCACCGATTTCGGCATTGGCACCCTCTACCGGGAACTCGTACACTCGAGGGAGTTCGGCACGTGCGACGACACCGCGCCGGAGTACAGCAGCACGGGTGGTTACCTTGCGCAGAAGTACAGCACCACGTGCGACGACCATGCGACGGAGTACAGCAGCACGGGTGGTTACCTCGCGCCGGAGTACCTTACGCGGGGGATGTATACCCCAAAGAACGACGTGTACGGTTTTGGAGTAATGCTTCTCGAGCTATTGACAGGTAAGCCGGTGATAAGGCCAGCATCCGGGGATCATCGAGAAGTGCTACGTTGCTGGGTGGAACAGTCTTACACTGACACGAGCTCGGACCTGATGCAATCGTTCGTTGACCCCTACCTGCGAGACGAAGTTGGGAGCAGTACCGCCCTCATGAACACGGTGGCGAAGGCAGCCTCGTTGGCGATGGAGTGTACCACGGTGGAGACCAGGGAGAGGCCGACGATGATGTTCACAGTCGTTCGAAGATTGAGGGAGGTGTCTCAGGTGATGCCCGAGGTCAAGAAAGGGAGATTCGAAACGAGCGGGAATGGCACCTGATCTTCTTGCGATTATCCCATCGTAGATGGCACACTGCGTTCGGACTCTCTGGGTCACTCAATCTGCTCCGCGTTGTTCGCTTGTTTGGGCGTGCGTGTGTGTGTGTGTGTGTGTGTGTGTGTGTGTGTGTGTGTGTGTGTGTGTGTGTGTGTGTGTGTGTGTGTGTGTGTGTGCAGAGCACGCGGGCGATTGGGAGAGAGCGTGAACAACGGGCGAGAAGGTGACAGAAAAGGAGGTCACAACGGGAGGAGGACCTATTTTGACGGTCACTCGCTCAGGAGCGAGTGCTCGACAGTGCGAACAGGAGACTCAGGAGAGGGGAGAGAGGGCAACAAGGAGAGTCCAAGAGATAATTACACGGAGTCCAGCATGGTTTGACATGTGTTGGCGACGTGTTTCTTAGTGGGTAATAGAGACGAGAACTGAGTTTGCAATTAGGGGAGGGCAATTGAGAGAAGGATTTACCTGTGATTTTCATCGAGTGGCTTTCTACCAGTACTCTTAGGTGTAATGTGTCCTGTGGTGAGCGTTGTGGGTGAAAATTAGCTGCGGTAGGGCGCGATGTGTTTCGTTTTCTAACGCCCTTAGGGGTGATTTAACCAGTCATTCGAGATAACCATGGATAGTAGTAGTAGTACAAGTGGTGAGGGATTATCTTTGTGGGTGACGTGGCATGACATCGCTACTTCATCCTTCGACGCTGCGTCGGTTGCTGGCGACACGGATTTCAAGCCGATCTTCGCTCATCCCGCAAATCCGCTTCTTTGTTTAGGCTCTGTGCAGGGTTGGGTAGCGCTGGGTAGCGTCGGTCAATTCACGTTGAATAATATTCAGTGGATGTGCCGACCTTTCTTCAGAGCTGAGGACATCGTTTAGATGTAATTGACATTAATTGTTAATGCCCATATATGTCAAATTGCTTGATGTATAGACAGATAGATTATCCAGTTGATCAGGGTAAATAAATGGCGATTGTCCACGGAGCAGATAGTATTACAGTATTACTGCTCTCCAAAATTTTCAAAATCGTAACTGAATCGTACTGAATCCACCCCTGGAACATGGAAAGATACCTTGCGATCTTTTTTCTCTTTTGTGCATGTGGAGAGTAGTGCAGCGAGGCCCTAAGGCTATAGGAAAAGCTACGACAATAGTCGGCAGGCTATAGGAAAAGCTACGACAATAGTCGGCCAGTTTAGGACTATCAAAGGGGTTGGTGTATTAGTTGGGAGGTTTAGGTAGCATGGAGTACCCTGACGGTAGGATAGGAGGATTTGAAAAGAACAGGAAGATTGAGGGCCTCGCCACACCACTCTTGAAAACTCGTTTTCATGTGTTGCTGCATGGCCACACATCCTCTTGAAACTTGGGGCAGTCCAGAGCTGTCAGAGTGGCAGCCTCTTGAAACCCTCTTTCTTTCAAGAGGGGCTCTTGAAAAATTGCAAACCCCAGCCTGCCTGCAACTCGTGGGTGTTCAGGAGTCCTTGGCTGAACCCTTTGAGGGACTATTGGGCCTCACTGTACTACACTAGACACATGAAAAATTTCAAGAGTACGGCTAGCGCTGTCAGACTCCTGGATTGGCATCAAGTGCTGTCGTCGCTGCACTTACTCTGGACTCTGGACTCTCGTGAGCATTCTTGACTGTCGGATAGACACCACACAGCAGAGCAGCGGCGATTTGTCCACCGAGACTGGAGGCCAACTGTCAAATTTGCAAACCGCACGGAGGGATGGATTAAAGGGGATAAGGGTTGTTCGTTCCCCATCTGACTGATTGCATGGATTTGGGAGTAGGATTTTTTTGACTGCCGTATCGTCTTCATGAAATTTTCTTCACATAAAAAAAGGGGCATCCCTGCTCAGTTAATCCCCTGGTTTCCGGGGCAATTTATGCTGGCAGGGGGAGGTCTTCTCATTTTTTTCTCAAAAAGAGGTGAGCGGGAGAAGTAGATGGTTAGATATCAAGCGTCCTACTAGTGAGGGGGCTAGCTCGTAGGATGGAAATAGGGTACAGCAGCTGCGGAGATGGTGGCTCTGCTGCAGTAAGCCTTGCCGGAGTGAGGTACAGAGGATTGATGGGGTGTTCCTGAGTCGTCTCTGAACTTTGCCTATCTCTGAAGTTTGTCGTACTAATCTTCTAAGTAGTTCAATTTTTTCTTAGCCAAAGCCGGGTAATGGCCTCGGTATCTCAAACTTTCAAATGACTATGTAAATTTTCATATGGGACGCTGGGCCCGGTTCCCAGCACGTGGCACGGATAGATTGGAGCTTTGTTCCCATGTGAAAAAAAAAAAAAAAAAAAAAAAAACCCCTAAGGGACCGGTCGGCCTCGTTTGAAAAAAATGCGCCCCTGCAGGTGAGAACTGTGGAAACTTCAAGAGCTTGTCCCATGGACCGCTTCTGACACCTCTTGAAGCGCCGGACCAACAGCGCTTTTCCACAGTTAGTGCAGGGATGACTCACTCTCTATGTTTTCGAGAGTGAATCTGACAGAGCTTGAACGGAAAATGCGGCATCAAGAGTTAGTGCAGCCGTGACGAACTCTTGATTTCTCTTTGTTTTTTTTGTTTTTTGTTTTTTTTTTCCCAAAAGCCCTTGTGTAAAACCCTTTATCCTGGCGATGGTAAGAGAACCGTCATGATTGAGGGTTTCTCTGTCGGGTTGCTCCAACGAACTCTTGATTTCTCAAGATTCAAGAGTAGCGCAGCGAGGCCCATTGATTTTCATTTTCAAGAGTTGTCGGGCTGTTATCCCGAGGCCATTCAAAAAAAACAAAGAGGTACAACTGTCTTTTTGCATCCTTTGTCTTAATAAGCACTATCACCCTTTCAAGAGTGCTGTGTGGCGAGGGGCCGAAAACTCTCGAAAATTGAAACTCCTGAAATCGTCTGGCAGCTCTTGAAACATTTCCCTGTTTGAAGAGTGGTGTGGCGAGGCCCTGAATTGTGTTGGTTGAAAAACATTTGGGATGATGATGAACGGATTTTTGGAAAGCCTGTCACAGGCTCTTTGTGCAAGCGAAAGCCTGTAAGGCAGTGAAAGCTAAGCTGGCTTTCTTGCACAAAGGAACCGGCGTAGAAGTTATACTACTGCTGCGTGACTTCGCATTTTTTCAATGGCGTCTTATCAAAATGTCGAGGCGAGGTCTTGTTATCCTTGGATTTCGTATTGGTTCATTCTGACTTGTCGTATTGGTTGTAGCTTCGCTCAACCACCTTTCTTGCACAGAGGAACCGGCGTAGAAGTTATAC